TGCATGGTTATAGGACATGAAAGAAATAAATGATCTCTGCACTCTGGTTCCAAACCACAAAAAGAGCAAGTTAAGTCACCAGTCCACCCTTTTAGATGTAAAACATCTTTTGTGTGCAATTTGTTCTTTGTAAGAAGCCAAAGAAAGATACGAACTTTGGAGGGAACAATAGGATTCCAGATAACTTTATATAGTGGGCTGGTTATTCCTCTTTGATTTAGAAAACTGTAGAAGGACTTTACAGTGAACTGCATGTTAGAAGTAAGAGTCCAAAGAGGTTGATCATAGGTTTGAGATATGTCTGAGTTATTGATAAGATTGAGAATACTCATTTTTTCTGCTTGAGCTCCAGGAGAGATACTTCTTCTCATCAACAAGTGCCATTGCCATTTATTATCATAGAAATTTCCTTGACTTTTGACAGAGACATTAGAGGAGAGGGCTAATCTATAGGATTCAGGAAAAATACTAGCAAGGGTATTATACCCTATCCACTTATCTTCCCAGAATCTGATATTATCTCCAGAGCCAATTGACCACTTGACGTTATGGAGAAAAGCATCCTTGAAGGATAAAACAACATTCCAAAAATGTGAATTTGATGCATTATATTCCCTGGATTGCAACAAAGAACCCTCAATGCCATATAGTTTGCGGATAAAGAGACCTGTTGATGAGTTTTTATCAAGACATTTCCATAACCATTTAGATAATAAGGAGTCATTGAACAAGTTAATGTCCTTGACACCTAAACCGCCCTCTTCTTTACTTAAACAAACCTTTTTCCAATTTACTAGACATTTGATGGTTTTTGTTCATTTCCTGACTTTGTCTATTTCTTTGACAAGCCATTTTGGTAGCTTATAGAAAGATAAAAAATACAGAGGGATTGATGTGAGAACTGAATTCAGAAGAGTTAGCCTTCCTCCATAAGACAAAGTGTTTTTCTTCCAGGATGCTAACTTTCTAAAGAGATTATCCAACAAGGGTTGCCAGTCTGATTTTGAAAGTTTGCCATATTTGAGAGGTAGGCCAAGATATTTGATAGGTAATTGTTCAACTTTACAATCCAGAGAAGAAGCAAGATTATGTGCTTTATAAGAAGACCTTCCAAATTATATAAGAGATGATTTTGAATAATTAATGCACAAGCCAGAAATGTCCTCAAAGAGATAAAGAATAGCTTTAAGAATGGAGATATCCTTTGAAGAGCTTCTAACAAAGAGAAGTGTGTCATCGGCAAATTGAAGTATTCTTAAATGGTTGAGAGGTTCCCGAAGTCCAAGTGGCGATAAAAGACCCTCTTCAACATTATTCATGATCATTTTATGCAAGACATCAACAACAACATTAAATAACATTGGAGAAAGAGGATCACCTTGTTTGAGACCACGTTTACAAGAAAAGAATTTAGATGGTGAGCCATTGACAAGAACAGAACAATTGGAAGATGATATAATATTAGAGATCCAAGAACACCATTTGCCACCAAACCCTCTAGCTTTTAACAGGTCAACAAGGAAAAACCAATCTATGGAATCAAAGGCTTTTGCAAAATCAATTTTGAACATAGCAACTTCTTTTTTCCTTTTTGAACAAGAGTGTATCATTTCATTTGCTTGTAGAATAGAATCAAGAGTAGATTTGCCCGCTTGAAAAGCTGATTGGGTAGGTGCAACTAAGGATGGCATATGATTTGATAATCTATTTGCCAAGATTTTAGTGAAAATCTTGAGAATACAATTGATAAGACTAATAGGTCTGAAATCTTTCACCATAGTGCAATCCTTAAACTTTGGAATTAGAGATATGAAAACTTTGGTTTATAATTTATGAAAACTTTTGAATTAGAGATATGCAACTAAGGAGGCATTATTTCTTCAATCTAGTAAAAAATAGGAATGTCATTTTAGTAAAAGACAGGGGATACTTTGGTCATTTGGCATCATCATTTATTAATGCGGGTTTCACCTCTCTTCTCTTTATCTCCTCTCTAGAAAGTTCAATGACTTCCATTCCTCTCTCATTTTTCTTTAATTGAAAATTTATAAGCGACTCTTTTAAAAATAACACAATTGAATGCATACATAACTCTAATTCTTATATAATTTTCTATGTAGTTTTGAAAATCTATGTACAAAATTCATAATTTCATAAATTATAAACCACAATCCGTTGCTAGTTTCAGTTGTTTCTATCCGTAGGAAAATATTATTATGGAGGTCAAAATTTAACATTTTATGAGCTATAATCTACGATTTTTAACTATTTTTAGTCGTTACTAGCCATTAGCCTATATGTTTATTGGACGTTAAAATTCATAATTTCATGAGCTATAGCTCACGATATTTGGCAACTTTTAGTTGTTGCAACAAATAGGCTAATAATTTTTCAACAATCAAAATTTAAGATTTAATGAGTTATAACCCACGATTTATGACCATTTTAATTTGTTCCGACCCATTGCCAAATAATTTGGCAGATGCAAAAATTCACGATTTTATGAGTTGTAACACAGAATTTCTGGCTAGTTTTAGTCATTCTGAGTCATTGGCACAAAATTTAAGATTTTATAAGTTATAACCATCGATTTGAGGGCATCCTTTTCTATTCCGCATATTGTACATACTTTCACGGATGCCAAATTTCACAATTTCATAAGCTATAAGACACGATTTCTGATAACTTTTATTCTTTTCGACCCATTGGCAGCTAACTTTATGGAGGCCAAAATTCACGACTTTATGAGCTTAACGCATAATTTTCAATAATTTTGTTCATTCTAACGCATTCCAAAATAATTTTCATCCAAAATTTATGATATCATAAGCTACATTCCACAATATGTGGCCATTTTTAGTTATTTCTACCAACAGAAAAATATTTTCATGGAGGCCAAAATTCTATATTTCATAAGCTATATTCTATGATTTTTGGCCGTTTTTGGTCAATACAAGCCATTAGTAAATGTTTTGATGGGATGCCAAAATTTACGATTTTAGGAGCTATAACTCATAATATTTGTCAATATACAGCCATAGGCTAATAGTTTTTTGAAGGTCAAAATTTAGGATTTCATGAGCTGTAACCGATAATTTGTCGCCTTTTTTTCATTCTAACTCATTGTAAAATAATTTGATAGATGCCACAATTTATGATTCCATGTGCTATAATACACGATTTTTGGTCGTTTTGAGTCCTTTGCAAATGATTCTATGAAGGCTAAAATTCAAGAGATTACGAGTTATAACTCACGAATCAACTGTTGGAAAAATTCTTTATTCATGTTAATGTTAGGGTGCCAAGTGAGTCACTTAACGTCTAATGCATTAAGTAGTGCAACTCTATTATCAGAAAAATCTACTAATTCCATTCTATAACGAAATGTTAGGGATCACTAGCCTCCTATCTTCCAAAAAGGAAAGGCAATCAAATTAAAATTGATAGAAAAAGATGCTTGTCATGAAAATTAAACTCGGCTTTAGTGTCATCAAAATAAATGGTGATCATGGATGGGTTTTACAAGCAAGACAAAAAGCATTGGGAGTGGCGACCCGACCCAGGATAGATTGTGGTGTTAGTGGCTAACGTGTTCTCCTCCCAATTCCATCCCAATATATGCTCTTACTGGGGAGCTACTAGCAATCAAGGACGAAGACGATAAAATTGCAAAAAGAGAGGGTGGTATTTGAATATGATTCTGCCCACGCTATTTGTAAGCTCCTAAGCGAAAGATGCCTTACCATCAGCTGGCTTTGCTTGCAGCGGACATTGGAAGATCTCGTGTTTTGATGTGAACACTTCTCTGCGCTTCAGAATACGGCTAGTGAGGTTGCCCATTTTTCCGGCCGGTTTAGCTGGTAACGAACCAAGTGATATCGTTTGGTGTGATAAATTGCTATTGATGTTGGCTGATATTGTATTTGATGATTTGAAATCCAAGTAAAATTTATCAATCATACACCATTAAAAAAAAAACCCTGAAATTATGGAAAAAAAAACCCTGAATTTCAAAAATTACAAATAATCTTTGAAACTTTAAAAAAAACCCTAAAAATTTAGCAATTGCAAGCAAGCCTTTGCAAAAACCAACTAAAAGTTCCAAAAAGGCAAATAACCCTCTAATTTTTTTACAAAATGCGCCATGATAATTTTAAAAATTACAAAAAAACCCCTTCAAAGCTTCATAAATATGACCCCTTATAAATTTTGTAAAAAGGTCCCTAAAAGTTTCCAAAATTGCAAAACAACCATATTTAAAAAAAAAATAAAACTTTCCAAATTTGAAAATAAGTTGCTAAAAATACAAAAAACCACTAAAAGTTTTAGAAATTGGAAATAGTGCTGTAAAGTTTAGCAAAAATCCACATAATATTTTAGAAACCACAAGTAAACAACTAAAAATTTTACAAAAAAATCACTAAAAGTTTTACAAATTGCAAATAATCCTCAAAAGTTTAGGAACTGCCCGTGATACCCTAAAATTTTGCAAAAACCCTAGAAGCTATAGAAATTATAAATAGCCCCCTGATTTTTTATAAAACCCCTGAATATTTCATGAGTTGTGAATAACCCCCGAAAGTTTTGTAGAAAACCCTCTGAAAGTTTTAGAAATTGCAAACGGCCTTCCAAGATTTGCAAAAAGTGCGTGGAAGTTACATAAATTACAAGTACCTGCTAAAAAATTTGCAAAAAAACTGGTAAATTTGTAAAAATTGCACTAAAATTTTCTAAAAACCCTAAAATTATAAACTGCAAATAACCCTGGAATTTTTAGAAATTGTAAATAACCTTCTGAAGTTTTGCATAAAAACCCCTATAAGTTTCAAAAATTACGAATAACCTTATAGATTTCTGCAAAAAGCCCTTATAGGTTTTAGATTTTGCAAATAACCCCAAGAAATATTTGCAAAAAACCCCTATAAACTTCATGTTGTGCAGTTAACCTAAAAAATATTCGCATGGATGCATGTCATCAGATGTGTAAGCCAAGACAATGAGCAATTGAAAAGCAATACGATTCCATGATGGATCGTTTTTATTCTTTGGACAACAAGATCGAAGCACATCAAATCCAAGCTCTAACAAATCCAAGCTCCAACATCGAGTCCCATGACAAACCGCTCATGGTCTATTTGTAGAACTCAATCATACAATTATTGGCAAAACCGTAGATGACTTCGGAACTAGAGAAGCCTGCTCGTTTGGCCAAGGAGTGAAATTCCTTCTCGGTTCTCTCTTTACCACCGGGATATTTGACCATCACGACGAGATCCAAGAAGATCTCTTCTTGATTTGCCATAATCGGCTTTGGGTCGACCGGAATCATGCTATTCATTATGATCACCTTGCCGTCCTCCGGCAATGCCTTCCAACAATTCCTCAGTATCTTGATGCAATCTTCATCAGTCCATATGTTTAGAAACCACTGAAATATTTTGGAATTAATGCACATATATGTTTTTATATGCTACAAATAGATGATAATATATTTGGATATATTTTACGATAAATTTCACAAAACACTCAAATAAGTTTGAAGGTTCTTCACTTAACCCCAAAAAACATATATTTTACGATAAATTTCACAAAACACTCAAATAAGTTTGAAGGTTCTTCACTTAACCCCAAAAAACTTTAACATTTTCACTTAACCGGGCCTGACGGTAAGTTCTTTCATCAAAAAAATAAAAATAAAATAAAAAAAATAACACCGTTTAATTCCTAACGTGTCGCATGTATATTGTGCTGTCAAACCCCACCTTCTCTCTCTCATGTTTGCTTTCAGATCCGAGCTCCCAGTCCCCATGGGATCAAGTGAAGAATATTAGAATATTTTGGGGCTTTTTTGGATTTTCCAACCTTATTGGAGGTTAAGCAAAATTTTTGAACGTTAACTAAGTGAAAAATGCCAAGTCTTTTATTTATAATATTATACTTTTAGCAGCTTCACTTGTCTAATAATCATACAAAAATGAAGTCAATGTCATATATAAATATAATAGTAAAATTCAGTTTTTTATTTATTATTATAGATATTGGACCCTTAAATCTTTTAAAAATTTTAAAACTCAAATAATGGAAATTTCTGTTTGGTCCTCCAATTCATATAAGTTTACTCTAAATTACTTTCTCTATTACATTTTTTTTCCGAACATCTTAACTATGATTAGGTTAGTGATTACTCCCATACAGTATACTATTGTCATACCTTTATTTTGTTCATTTCCCTCAAAATCACAAATTTTCTCTCTTCCATTTTATTGAGAGTTCGGTAGGGAGGATAAGATGACCATTTAAGGAAAAAACCTGTAGGAATTTTTTGTTCGTTCAAACTATAGTGGTTCTCTTATCCGGCGTATTAGTAATTTCCCCATTACTTGGAAGTGTCATGCTATGGAACTTCTCAATATATCTTTTTCTTCACTACACAACAACAACAACAGCAACAAAAAACAACAAAAAACAAAAAAAAACAAAAAAACAAAAACAAAAAAACAAAAAAACAAAAAAACAAAAAAACAAAAAAACAAAAAAACAAAAAAAAATCTTACTTAATTGAAGAAATGACCCTCAGGCTAAATAAATATATATCCCTCTTTAAATAATTTTTTTCCGAAAAGATTTTCACATTAGACAATATGAAAATAAACCACTACCCTTTCATTCTCGATCTTCCCACCCTCCCCCTAAAATATTTTGAAAAAAAATTATTACAAAATATGAAAATAGATTTATCTTTTTTTTTTACCTGAGGTGTATAATTTTCATCATCGTGTGGTTACGTGAGAAATTTTTTGGTGTTTAACGAGGAAACGAAGCATTTGCAGGTTTCATAGGAAGCACCCAAAGCTACTGAGGGCTTTGTAAAATGTACAACTTTTCAAAATTTGTTTGATATAAAATGATTAAAGGCAACTCACTTTCATTAAGATGCCATCTCCGCTCGGAACACTCTCAAATATATCTCCGGTAACGTGCTCCACTCCTGCATCACCAAAATCACATCTTAATAAAAAATGTCAAACTCATGCTCAAAATTAAGGGAGAACAAAATTGTGAATAGTGCTCAACACAATCAAATCCATTATTGAAAATGAAAAACACTCAATCAAATCCAAATTAAGGTTAATTCTATGGGCCGGGAATTACTGCTTATGTTTATGATAGACACTTGCGTGTGTGTGAAGAAAAAAAAAACTATATTAGCCGGCAACTCATTTTTCTATATGATTTTGAAAGAAATAAACAAATGATAGGATTCATCAAGTAAGCCATATGGAAAGAGGTGGACCTTATCATTATTATATTTTGACATATCATTTTATGAAATGAGCTTCTACTATCCAATATCTTATACCTGGAATTGGTTCAGCCTCAGAAATGACATGAGGGAGATCAAAGTTAATCCCCTTTATATGGGGATGCTTCTGGAGTATCATCTTGAGGGTTCCTCCAACACCTCCACCAACATCCACGAGCACCTTTAGATCATCAAAACCCTTGTAGGTCTCGAGGATTTTCTTGGTTAAGATGGTTGAGTAGTTCTTCACCCCTTCGTTGTACACTTTATTGGCCCTTGGATCTGTGCCAAGATACTCGAAAGCGCCCATACCGTGGGCCTTGATGAATGGGATGCCTCCGTTCAACACTGCATCCTTCAAATAATACCTATTGTAGATTTTCATATTTAATTGTCAATAGATTAGTCAAACCATAACTTGTTAATTTGGTACATGGGAATGAGTGGGAATGGAATGCTCATTGGCACTTCTCATTCATTAATATCAAACATGACATCTTTTTTGAAGCTAGAACTCTCATTTCCCACCTCTCCTCCATTCCTACTTTTTTTGTGAGAATTGACATTCCCAATAAGTTGGTAGGGAATGAGGAAAAATTAAATTAAATACCAAGTATGTCATGATTGGTTATTAATTGCCCATAATAAAATTAAAAATATTTTTCATTCTCACTTTAATACCTAATCACACCCAAACATGATAATGTAAATGAGCATTTCATTTCCACACTCATTCTATTTTGCTTCACTACTTTCTTACTTGATTCAATTCCCACATTACAAAACGAGGGGAAAAAAAAGAAGAAGGGCCATGCATCTAATGAAGTGCTTATTTGCTAATTGGATTTGTGAATGAAATTTAACTCAGCTGCTCGACATCAACATAAATTTAACTCATGCTCAACGTCTTATTTAACGCAATATTGCTAATTAAACAAGAAAGAAATAGACACACATACCAGCTCTCCATGAACACTCTGTCCTGGTGCATAGCCATAGCCGCTATAGAAACCCCATCCTCATTCTTTGCCAGGTACTTCACCACCGGCGCAGCCCCATACTTCCTCTCCACCCCTCCGTCATCCCTCGCCTCCACGGTGCAAGTCAACACACTGTAACTCGCCAGCAGCCTCATCATCCTGTCGAGCATCGACGCAGCCTCTGGATTTTTGGTCGGCAGCTGAGCAGCGATCTCTCCGGGGGACAAGGAAGCGCCGGGACCCGCCTTGGCGATGATGTCGAAGATGCCGAGATCAATGGCGGATGTTAGGGTCATGGGAAGGACGGAGAAGGAGACTAGTTGGTGAGCATAGATGAAAGCGTCCTCGTCCGTGGTAATTTGGGGAGCTAGGGTTGTCAAGTTCTGGACCGTACCCATTTTTGCTGAAAAGTGCGGGGAGAGAGGGAGAGAGAGAGAGTGTGTGTGTGAGAGTGAGCGGGAGAGAGTTAATTAGGTGGGAGGAGCGAGGTATCATGAGTGGTTTTTATAAGAGGTTTCGGGAAAAAGATTTCCTTCTAGAGCCTGTTTGGTTATTTCCAAAAAAAAATCGGAAATGGAAAACTCCCTCTTGAAATGATTTCAGCACATTTCAAGAGTTTTCCCAGTTTTCTTTTTTTGTGTTTGTTATGCAGAGAAAACTCCACATTTCACTGCCAAGTCACACAAACAGACAAAAAAAAAACCTCCATAGTAACAGTGCCTTGATTTCTATTTCTTATGTTTGTTTGAGAACAAGAAAAAGGAAATGAGAAACCAGGGTATTAAATATTATGTATATGTTTTATTCTTCTTCACTATTCTAATTGTGCTTTTACTAATTAATAATTCAAAGAAGTGACATTTCCCAGTGTTTTCAGAGGTTTTTGTTGTGAAAACACATTTCTTGAAATTGTGATGTGGCATCCTACGTGGCACTTCATTTCTTGAAATTTAAAAACGAAACAAACATGAGAAATGGAAAACTCTTGAAAACAAAAAACCCACGTGGCACTTGTTCATTTCTTGAAAGTTGAGGTGGCAACACATTTCTGATTTTTTTTGAGCAAACAAACAGACCCTACCCCCCACTATCACAAGAGTTGCAACTTACGATATTTTTTTGGTCATGTCATGTCACTACAACAAAAATGCTAATCCGCGAGGAACAAGTTTGTCGTTGAAAGGCGAGATTTCCTCGTCGTAGTGTGTTCGCGAGGAAAAAACTTTGGTCACCATTTCCTCGCAGTAGGGTGGTCAAGAAAAGTTTCTGCGAGGAATATTATAATTTCTCACGAAATCCTTTTTGCGATGAATATATTCTTTTCTCGTTGTTACTCTTTAGCCTCGATATTTTTCCTCACCTAATCTCATGCCTTTTTCATCGCTAAACTACAGTTTCCTCGCCAATGATATGTGAATAATATTTAATTTATATATAATAAAAATTCTAAAAAAACTATTTTCATCATTGTAAGTACCTTTCAACGAGGAAATTGTTCCTCACCAAAGGTAAATCATTAACGAGGAAATTGATTTTCTTCATTATATGTATCTTTTTCTCGTGGAAACAGTTTCTCAGTAAAGGGACTCAAAGACAAGGAAATTTAAATTTGTCGTTGTAGGTTGTGCCTCATATTCCTCGCCAAAGAAATTCAATTACGAGGAAATTTACATTTGTCGATATAGGTTATATGGTCTATAGCGAGGAAAATTACTTTTGTCGTTATAGGTTGTATCACTATAGCGAGGAAATATGTTTTGGTCGACGTAAGCAGTATACTCTATAACGAGGAAATATTCTTTTGACGACATAAGTATGTGGCCTATTGCGAGGAAACATATTTTCTTCACCTTAAGTTGTAGGGTCTATTTTGAGGAAATTTACTTTCATCGACCTAAATATATAGCGAGAAAACTTATAATGAGAAGATTTTATTTCATCAATAATAATGCTACTATGAGAAAAACACAAAATATAAATAATTATCATCAATTGTCACCACAGTACATCAAAACAATTAAAATAAATAAAGCAAGAAAGGTACTACCATAAGTAACAATACTAGTCTAAAGCAATAACAAATGCAACACGATCAAAGAAATATTTCTCCAAGTTTAAGTCACTAAGAATACTAAGCTGATGGATGTTGCCTCGAAAAATTAGCCATAAAGGCCTCAAACTTTTTGGCTTGCTCCTCCAATCTTTAGATTACCTCATTTTGCACATCGATCTTCTGTTGTTGAGTTCCTACAAGTTGTTGGGTCTTTTGAAGCTGTTCTTGCAACTCTTTATTCTTTTCAGACATTTCACTCATCGAAGAACGAGAGAACATTAATGGTGGTGGTTTAGGGCCAAAACCACAACCCTTATAATCTAGCCTGATTTGACTTTGAGAACTTTTGCACAAATTTACTCATCTTTCATTTTTCGAGTTCCATCAGGTTGAGTGGTATCTGCTCGCATCTTTATCATTTGATCCTATAAGTAAAAAAATATATATCCAGTTCAATCATATGCAACTTCTTAATTACAACCTAATCAATATAATCCTCTTTAGAACAGTAATATCAGTTTCACCTATATTCTTAAAATATTATAAAAGCATGCATCATTGACACGTTACTTACCCATTTTTCCTTTGCTCCCAAGTCCCATCCTTTTTTTGTACTTCTATACTCTGTTTCAAAACGATCAATTGCACATTGCATCTCTCCAGTCTGTGTTGCCTATTGCATTCAAACATGTTTTCATTTTTAGCATATATATATGTACACAATTAAGTTACAAATTTATAAGCAAAACTAAAAAGTGTCTTACAATTTGCTCTTGGTGTGACAAATGATTTTGACCCAGCTTTGTGGTGATATGTACCTTAAACTTTTCACTAGAAAAATGAGTGCAAAGAAACTCTCATTCTTCCTGAGTCTTGACAGCTTCATGTTTGTTTTGAATTGCCTCCTCAATTGTTAAAAACTGCTCAAAATGTTTCTTTAACTTATAGCGAAAATTACAATATACGATCTGACATGTTGTAATTACATATCTCTGGACCCAAGGGAGCGACATGTCAAATTCAAACTTATTCTGCACAAGCATAATTTCATGTCAAACTAAATATAACAAATCAAAGCAACCAATATAATGCCTTTAGCAAAACAAATCATCACTAACATGCATTCTTTTTATCAAGTTCTCCACATTTGCTTTTTCAATCTTCTTCCATTTTCCACATGCTTTTCAACTTCCGAGGAGCACTGCATCTTAATGGAGGACGGTGGTCCTATCATGGCTGCATGATAAGGGTAATAAGTTCGGGAGAAATAGAAAACTGAAAAAATAAAAGCCTAATAAAAGGAATTTGGTGGAAGACATAACTAATGGTCAAACTGGTTTACTGATTTATATAGAGAACATTCAAATGTTAAAAGTTGGAGCAACCTCTACATGGAACTTCAACGATGAGTACATCCTCCAGTGAACAAACACCTGATAGTTCAAGTTTTAACTATTATCCAACCACTCATGCAATGGGAACAAATAATCTGATCCAACTTCAACTTCATACTCATATCTTGACAAATATGGATTTACATCCTCTCTGCTGAAAGCATGTGTATAGGTATAGATAGCGCTAAACCATGTGATATGTTGCAACCGATACCCAAATATGCCAATGCATACCCGTATAAATGTATGTATTGCTACATATAAATTAGGTATCCATTATTTAGCTTGCATTGCACTAAGAGCTTTCTGATTGTATCACACTTCAACATGAAGATTGACCCCATTTTACCTTCAAAATATCATCATCATAAATAATATCTTCCGATTAGTATCTGAATTTGATCCTACCTCGGATTTGTTTTATCAAATATGGATATTTAGCTTTTTATCCAGACAACATTTGCAAATTCTTCATCGCTTGCCAAATTTGGGTGTGCAACTTTAGTTCCATTAGGCAAATTTGGGGATGCACCATGGTTCTGAGTATGAGCAGAAGCAGAGGTTTCTTCATTGCTGGCCAAAAAAAACATATGAGCACCTATATTAAGGGATATTATTTACATAAGAGAAGTTGGGACCCCAGGACAAACTTGTCCTCGTTGAAGTAATCTTCTTCCTATTTCTCAAGGGCCCGCTCATCAGTTCTTTTTCTGTAGTCCACTATGTTAACAGCATTCTTTGTCTCACAAGGCTCAAGTGACTGTAAGAGGGATTAACGAGAAATTAGGTAGGTCTGCCATTTTCTTCAGTCAGAGTCACAGGTATTTTAGAATTCAATTGGGAGAACACCTTATCTGCATTCACTCCTCTTGTCTTCCCTCGCACCTTTTTGGTTGTACCTTTGACATAATTTTTATTAAGAACATAACACATACGTATATTTAATTCTCAAAATATTTGTATATAATGTTTTGTATACCTGAAGGAGGCTCCTGATTAATATCTGACATCACATTATCATCTCGCTCTTCAACTATGGTGTTTACCACTGGCTGATCATTAACACTTTGTTGCTGAAGACGTGCACTAACTCTAATCCCTGTCATTCGAGTTTGTAGTTTAGGTATACCCTTGTAATTTGCAATTGATGAAAATGAAATTCAATTCAGCTTCTCTACACCTTTTAGAGGAAAATAATTCAATTCAGCTCAATTCAACTGAATTCAGCTCAATTCAACACCACTTACCAGTAGTAGTTCGTTCTGTGGTGACAACAGTACTACTAGAATTCAGTCCATCTGCTACAGAATTTTGGCATTCTTGATTGGAAGTTTGCAGACGAGTACGTTTTGTACCTATTAGCATACACACTTGTTAGATAAGTAAAAACTAACAGTACTTAAATATTCTAGCAGTAAAATGAAGATTGCATATTTACTCGGATTAGAACCGGATCCATTCCCTGCAGAATTCATGTATGGCAGATAACTAGTTGCTGCATGAGAACGTTTCTTTTTCAATAATTCTGCATGTGATTGATTACTTGGTGCATTACCTGTTGTTACATAAACGTTAAATTGATAATAATATTCTAATCAACCAAGTGAATGAATCATGAATTATAAGAGAAATATGCACTACTTACCAGAAGTAGAACTCTGAACGATAGGCGCTTTGTTACGGTACATCTTCTCACTGTTTATTATCAAACAATTAGAATGGTCAAAATGCAAAAGAATGTAAACAGTAAAAACTTTGCTAGAAAATAGATCAAGGTGGTAGATTGCAATCGGAACCCTCTTTAAAGGTGGTTTCTGTACAAATGAGCTTTGAAGGTGGTTTTCATACCATCACTATATTGAATTATGTAGATCCTAGCATTTTGGATGTAACTATTCAATATACATCACAATACTGAAATGGTTTCCAGCAATTGCTACTAGCTAGTAAATCATCAAATGGATGACTCTCGGATTGCTCTTAATATGGATGTGCATGGAATTGCTGCTCTAAAGATATGTCTATAAGAATCCAGCTGTAGTGATGGCAGCCTGCTCCTGTACTCCAAGTCCACATAATATGGACAGAGTGCTGATGGTACCTAATATTATGCCAGTCCAACATCGTCAGGATAATCCAAGCAGCACATGCAGGAAACAACTTTCCGCTGTAAATTTTGCTGCAGAACCAAGATCAGTCGCAAATCTAAAGTAAATAACAATAATGAAATACAAGGAATAAAGCATTTTTACTGACACCCTCAACCATGCACAGACTTCAGGATTTGAGCATCAGGTTAATGAACCTGATAAATGGAAACAGCCTGAAACATGGGATTTACAGCATTGGGATTTACAACTATCAGTTTCCATTAAAGAAGTTGCATATTTTGATCAAACCACCAAATATATCCAAACTATCTCCATTCCACCAAAGAGACTTTACAGAACTAGGTTAATAATCACAAGAAGTAGTTTAACCATCAGCAACTGATACTTTGCTGTCAATCATCTGAATTAAAAGTAAAACTCATTCCAAATTCCAATTAACTGGCTATCACTCCAGAAAAAAAACATAGTAGTATTTTGGCACATCAACTGAACGTTAGAAATTGTATATGTAAGGGTTGAGCATATTTAATCTTTGCTTCAGGTGAAAAGCTACAGTCTATTATATATTATTATTGTTGACTGAATACAAACTGAATACAAAATTATCTTGTGCTCACTGTGACATTAGCTGCAGGAAATTTGTCCGCAAGATATCTTGTGCTCACTCCTACGGAACAACCAATGTCTAAAATATCCTCAATTTTAGAGCTCCCAAATTGTAGAAGGTGCTCTTCAATTGCTTTAATCCAGTTACTACGAAGAACCTGGTTTGCCTCATCAATTGATGAAGCATCAGGTATTGCTCGCTTAGCAATTGATAAAGTGGCAGCTTCTGCTTCTGCTGCTGCCTGCCATAATAGCCCATAGTCTTCCAACTTGTTAGCAGAATAATTATATGAAAATTTATCTTTCAAAATTATAGAACAATCATATTATGTTTCACGTAACCTCAGATCCCATCCTGAAGAATAATTCCAAATAATTATCTCTTGAGAGAAAATGAGGAGAACGACTCTTTAAAGAAATACCAAGAGTATGATCGTCTTGTGTAACTTAGACCTCAGGATACTATGCAATGAAATCTATTAAATGGTTCCTCCTAGAAATAGGCTTTAATTATAGATTCAAATGGTCTAAGAAATCTATTTAAAGAATGAATGGAATAATATTATCGTAACATTGATAATAGAAGTGCTTCAGTTGCACTATTTGTATTTATATTATGCTTCGGATGAATGCAATTTCCTTTATGAAATCACATCATATCTCGTCTTCCTATACACTTTCTAGTAGGCAAAGAGAATAAGCAGACTACTTGATTATTTCATATTAAATAACATGATTAATAATAAGATAGGTCTTATAATGCCCACTGTTAATAATAAATAATGCATGTGATGTAGGCCTTCTATGAAACCTGCTAAACACCAGCATTCTTTGTCTTTGCTATTTGCTATTTAGCATTTTCTTCGCCAATATTGTTGGAAAAGTTTAAGGTTTTCTATTTATCTAAAATCTAGCAATAACAAGCATATTCCACATTCCTAAGAATAGCGATCATAACAACTAAACTTCTTAGTATCACGGCCTTACTAATTTAATGCTCGCTAGAGTGTACAAGAAGACAACTAATCTTTTTTGATACTCTGGTATTACTGATTAATGATTCCTACATTACATAAAGAGACAATTACTAGCAAATTTCTGTTTCTTGCTTTAATTATTACTGTTTTCAATATTACCGAACAATTCCAACTCCATATAGTAGCGAGATGCTTGCAGGAAACCAACAATGACGAAATAGTTAGTATCATCTGAAAGTATAGTGCAATCATCATAAAGCTTCACTTAAGAAATAAATGTGTACCAGCCAACTTTGGTTCCCTTGATTGAACAAGAGATTTCTTTTTGGTTCCCTTGATTGAATCAAAGATCTGTTAATAATTTCATAAATTAGATGCATAGCATATAATTCACCCAAAATCAAACCCACAACTCGTCCCCACAAGCTTCAAGATAATTGACATTGACGAATCACAATGCGTTAAAATAACTCAAATTTTTCAAAATTAGTTTCCAAATGCAATGGATTAAGGATTTCTTCTAACAGTTAGCAAAACTATAACAAAATCCGAATGTAAAAACCACAAAACTATTATAAATTCTTGTTACAATGCGATTTCTCGTCTAAATCAAATATTTGCTACTAACTTCATAAACAGATTCACTTAATAAAAATCGTCCAAAATAACTCAAAAATCCCTATTCAACTAGACAGTACAAATGTAATCCAAAGGTCAAAATCACAGCACTATCAATTACAAAGTAAATCCAAGAAAATGGTATGAAACATTTATTAACGAAAACCAAATCGGATCCAAACCTCTGTCCAAGAAAATGATATCAAAATCACAACACTATCAATTACTAAAACCTCTATTATAAAAAAAATCTTATTTTAAGTGATATGATTACTAATAAATACCTAGATTTCAAGCCACCGCATTTATTAACGAAAACCTAATCGGATCCAAACGAGACTCGACGGCGGATCCTGGATCCATGCCCGATACCAGAGGTTTCGGTGGACTTACCACACGTGATCTGCTGCTTCGCCGAAGAAACTATGATGTGGCGATGTCGGTTGGGTCTATCGGTACTCTCCTCCGTCGCTTTCTCGAATTCAACGAGATCCGCGCCCAAATCTATGAGTACGGTGAGCACTGACGACGGTTTAACGGAATGGCGACGGGGCGAACGGGGGAGTTCGACTCGGAGCGTGCTTCTGCCTGCCGCCGCTTCGAAGAGAAAGAAGAAGAAGGAGGGCTCAGCGATGGGAGCTTTGGGGTTATTAATTTTGATCGATGGGAGATTTGGGGTTATTAATTTTGATATTGGACCGCTCTTTTATTTGAGTACCCGCTACTTTTTAGCCAAATTCCCACTAAAATTTTCCCAACGAATAATGAGTATGAGTATATTATTAATTCCTCACTGATTAGTTTTTTAACAAGGAAATGATTGCTCACAGAATAAAATATCAGATTATTTGCAACCACGATGCACAGAATTGATAGCGAATTCAAATCTCCCAAAACTCACAGTTACTTTTTTGTATACAAAATAAAAAACAAAGGTTTTTTTCTATATTAATTAGATGCACAGAATTGATAGCGGATTGGGGTTTTTTACAAGTCAAGATAATAATAAGGTTTAAAATACAAAATAAAAAACAAAGGTTTTTTTATATTAATTAGATGCACAGAATTGATAGCAGATTGAGGATTTTTACAAGTCAAGATAATAATAAGGGTTAAAATACCTAGATATCAGAAAGGGGGAGAGAAGCAACCACGATCTGGAAAGCGGCAGTCTTGAGGTGTGATCGGACAGATGCCCAAAGATCTGGAAATCGACGGTCTTGAGGTGTGATCGGAGATCAATTAAGACTTTCAGAGTTGAGCTTTGTTGGGTCGTGCGGAGGATCATGGCTTTGTTGAGAGCGGCCAGAGTTTTTTGGGCTGATCGTGCGGAGGGGATGAGGATGAGGTGAGAGCGGAGGGGTTTAATCAAAGGGAGAGCGGAGGTGATGAGGATGAGTTGATCAAAGCGGAGGGGTTTAATCGAGAGGGATAGCGGAGGTTAGAAGAGAAAGAAATCACCGCCTTCTTAATTTGTTTCCCGGTTTTATTTGGTCCCGTAAATTTGGTTTCCCACCTTAATTTTAATAAAAATATTTATTTTTTCTTATAATTAAATATCATTTAGCAACCAACTTTTTTTTAAGTACCCGCCTACATTATTCATTCGCAAAACCCGCTCTTTTCTTTGAGTACCCGCCTACATTATTCATTCGCAAAACCTAAAATTTTAGCCAACGAATAATGAGGATATTATTATTTTCTCGCTGATTGGTTTTTTTTAACAAGGAAATGATTTCTCGCAAAAAAAAAATTAGCGAGCAAAACGGTTCCTCGTAAAAAAAACTTTTAGCGAAAAAGCCTTAAATTTGTTGCTATTGAAATTGACGGGTTTTGCACAATTTTCCGTCAAACTAATAATGAGGAAACTATTATTTTCTCGCTAATTGGTTTTTAAACAAGGAAACAGTTTCTCATAAAACAAAATTTTTAGCGAGGAAACCTTTAATTTGTCGTCAATGAATTTGGCGGGTGTTGCAAATTTTTTCGTCAAATTAATAGTGACGAAACTATAATATCCTCACTAATAGGTTCTTTTTAATGCGGAAACGGTTCCTCGTAAAAACAAAAAACTTTTAGCGAGGAAGTCTTAAATTTATCACCATTAAAATTAGCGGGTTTTTTCTTTCCCGCCAAACTAATAATGAGGAAACTATTATTTCCTCGCTAATTAATACTTTGATGAGGAAACGGTTTCTCGCAGATTATGGATCTTCAGCGAGGAAATCATACTTTGTCGCTGCTACATTCGGTGGGTTTTCCTCTATTTTTCACCAAAAGAATAGCGATGAAATTACTATTTCCTCGTTAAATGTGCATTTCGCGATGAAAAAGTTCATCACCAAAATCTCATATTTCCTCGCCAATAAAATAACTAGTTAGGAGACCAAATCATGATCATCTTTAGTGAGGAACTAAAATTTTCATCGCAGAAAGTGGTCTACTGTGAGGAAAATATATTCCTCGTAGAAGACCTACTGATATTTACCGAGGAAATAATATTTTCCTCGTCGAAAGTGATATTTGTTGAGGAAAATAATTTTCTCGAAAAAAAGTTTGTCACTAAAAGACATGTCTGTTGTAGTGTGTCCTGTCATATTTTGGCGTTGCACAGATGGAATGTCATACAAGAAGTTGAAAGCGTGAATCGACATGTGGAAATTTATCGAAAAACTCACGACACGTATTTTTTATATATTTATTTTGTTTTTATCTAATAATGTGAACTTGTGTCTTATGATATTTTGTATCTGTATAGTTATTAATTAATCCTTTGTAATTAACACAACACTTCTACATGTGTCATAAAATAATTGTGGGCGTGTGCAACTTCGTTATAGTGAACCCTGTAGATTTTCATGTAAACTTTAAATTTGCATTTAAATTATGTAAATAAAAATCTCAATAATTACATCCATACTTAATTAAGATCTTAGAACTATATGATTATCACATGAATAATAATTAAGGAAGAAGACATACCTTGATCCATATTAGTGGCAAATGATTGGGCACAAGAGCCCTTTTGAACAAACAGAGATTTCATTTATGCTTATTACTCAATGATAAAAAAAACACCCTAAATTTTGAAATTCATTATATCTACACCCTAATAATTTTAAAGCCCATGTTGAACCGTAACTTTGAAAACAGATGTTCAAGATTACCGTTGACCAACTTGTTATAAGTTTTGAATCAAAGTGTTATAATCAGTAGTTTCTTTATTGTAGTGCAGCAATTCAAAGTGTTCTATTCGCAATTGGGTAATAGTAAAAGGTTCTATTCACAATTAATCCAAATCCATTGACAAGCCATTTCGGGTACCATCTTTTTTTTGTGTGAAAATAAGATGTGATCTACAAGCCTTATCTTTGTTTGTCATCTCGTACTATTACAAGCATTATCTTTGTTTATGAAAATAAGATGTGATCTACAAGCCTTATCTTTGTTTGTCATCTCGTACTATTACAAGCCTTATATATCTTTGTTTTTTGTTTGTGAAAATAAGATCGATGTGATCTACAAGTCTTATCTTTGTTTGTGAAAATAAAATATGATCTACAAGCCTTGTCTTTGTTTTTTTTTTTTTTTTTGATTGTGAAAATAAGATGTGACCTACAAGCCTTATCTTTGTTTTTTTTGTTTGTGAAAATAAGATGTGATCTACAAGCCTTATCTTTGTTTGTCATCTCTCGTACCAATTTGTCATCTCCTATTATGAATTAAATTCTTCCAAGTTGAACTTTGTGGAACCACATTATGCACCCTTGTTTCTATTTGGATTAATGATAAGTGTAGTATACTTTTCATACTATTTTGGCACTATCACAAATAAAAGAGTGAGGTCCTTGCTTAAAAATTGTAAAAAAAAAGTACTGACTCATTATGACTCTACTCTTTTGCTTGTGATAGCGACAAAGTAGTATGAGAAGTGTAGTACATTTATCGTTACTTTTTGTATTATAACCATAGTATTGGTGAGGCACGCATGAGATACTACATCATCAATATTTGTCCCTATTGTGCTGATCATCTCCTACTTCATGTCGCTTGCTTACCTCCTACTTCATTTTTATTAACATATGAACAAAACAATGAAGGGATTAAAGATTTCCTAAAGGTAAGTCTTGAACTTCAAGAATATTGGATTCATTAAGAAATCCACAAGCCATGTGACCCAAGATTTGTGCAACCTAAAATAAAAGATAAACAATAGTTCAGTTGTGCTTCAACTTATATACCCTCACTTCTCTTATGGTTGAGAATAATTTTAGAGGAGAGTGGGTTTAAAATAAATGGGTATACAACTTTCAATAAAACTACTCACTGCATTAGTACATGATAGACCGATGGCTTATGTGCAAAATACTCCTTTAGTCACGTGCACAGTGTATCGAACACAGTAAGCGTATTTGGGCACTCATTCTTTTGAATTTTTGTAGCTGCTCTATATATTGAAACCTTTGTAAAGGAAGTCAAATTATTAGAGCTTATTAGTCATTCCGAGGACATGAGCTTATTAGTCATTACAATCACGTGAGCTTAGCACATGATTTTTGGCTATCTTTAGTTATTCCGAGTCATTGTCAAATAATTCTATGGAGGCCTGTAGGATGTAAAATGGATCTCAAATATTTGTATTAATTGAATTGTTTGTTACAAATCGAAATCGATTTCACATAGAAGCGAAGAGAATGAATCTAATCTCTCTTTGTTTAACGTGGGTTCTTGGTAGCAATAGGATGCCTCCCTCGATACTTGTGTCGAATTTGCTTTCCTTGGACAATTTGACCGAGATTGCAAACGAACAAACTTCAGCACATGGTAGAAGTTTGATTAGAAGAGCTTGATCACTCAAGCTTGAATACCAAAGCTGAATGCACAAGAATGCAAGAGATCGGTTCTTTTGAATCTCCCTCAAAAGTTCTGCAGCTAAAAAGTCCAGGGCCCCCTTTTTCTATAGCTAAATATGACTATTTATACCTGAGAAAGATCATAACTACCCCCTTAGAACGTGGGAAGTGGGCTTAACCACTCCCAAAATTTAAGTAAGTGGTTTTTAACCGCTCAGGCGAGCCTGACGAGCTTGCAGGTGAGCTAGGCGAACAGACAAGGTTGACAGGCAAACACCTTAAGCGTTCAGGCGAGCTTAAACCCTGTTGGTGAGCTTGGATCATATGGGCGAACCTCTTACGGGCGAGCTTGACACGTGTGAGCAAGCGAAGCACTCAGGCGAGCTTAGCTAACTTGCGAGCTAGCGAATTAAGCATTCAGGCGAGCTTAGTTTTTGTAGGCGAGGTTGGAGTATATGGGCAAACTTCGTAGGCGAAGCTATCAGGCAAGCTTCAATCAATTCAGGCAAGCTTCAAGCGTTCGGGCGAGCTTGGCTCATGCAGGCGAAGTTCAGGCGTCGAGGAACATAACTTGCAGCGAAGAACGGATCATAACTTTCAAACCATAAGTCAGAATTAGACGAATTATATATAAAAATCGACTATCTCAACAAGACGAGACCGACCAAACTGACAGAAGTGAGTTTGCCGCCGTTCGTTTTACCAAATTTCCTCCGGTTTGAGAGATATCATCGTTTTTGTCTGTTTTTTACTATTTTTGGTAATGTTCTTACAGGCGAACTTCTGAATTTCTCTGTTAGGGATAAAGGCAATTTTATT